GAGGGATTTGAGCCTCAGCTGCTTTGCACGGCTGCAGCCCCATGGAACAGTTCCAGCAGGTTCATCCCTGCAGGTTTGAACTGCTGCCTCACCAGCCCCCATCCCACAGCCACTCACAGTCCCTCAGCCAGATAAGCCTGGACAGATGCTCAGGACCTGCACATGAGAGCAGGCTCACTGCCAGGACGTGCTTTTGGATTCAAACAGCCTTTAGAGGAAGTGTTTTAGAGGAAAAGAGACAATAAGAAACATATCAGTGAGAAATGAAACGTGTTACGCTGCAGTAAACACACTGACAGTGTTGGTGGGAGCAGCAAACAAAGACCACACACCATATGTCTTCCAGGTGGTAATTTTGATCTTGCTCTTAGTAACATTTTAATCAAGAGGAGCTGAGATCTGATTTACCGTTTATGGTTGGTGAGATCTTTCCTAAGCCTCCTTTACAAGTCTCTAATTTGATTTGTCTGGATTGCTAAATGGAATGATTTGCCTGATTTACTTCATCACAAGGATGCTTCCTGACATACACAAGCATGTGGTCTAATTTGAGAGCATGCAAGGCTGTAAAACAGTCCTGGCTGTGGAGTGGGATCTCACCAGAAAAAGGAGTACACAGTCACTGCCTTAGGAAAAGTAAACACAACTATTATTCTGGGCTTCACTCAGTTTCCACAGTGTGGACAGTTATATTAAGCTGATGCTATTAAAGACAGCTGCAAAGGCATTTCTTGCAGGCTGTTTGCTAGAAATTCGATCTCTTAAGGCTTTTGATGGACATATAAAAACTCTTCTGTTGACTCTGCTTTTAATATTTGAGTATTAGAAATGAGTCACCTGGCTGTGAACAGCTGGTAACTGTGCATCATCTGCATATGCTTTCACACCACGCTGCCACGAGGGAGATGGATTTCTCTGGACAGAGAGGAGAGCAATTCTCATCAGCCTGGCCCAGGGGTGATCGCTGGATCAGACAGACAAATCCTGGCCATGTTATTCAGACTGCAAGTGACATCAGACTAATTTATATGAGCAAAACAAACAGGATTCTCCTGTAGATGGCAGAAAGATTATTTGCTTTATGACTGAGGTCCAATACCTGCAAGCTTTTAAAGAAATTGGAAAGTACAGATGGGTTTTTTGAGTAAAAAAGGGAGAAATGAGATGGGAGAATTCTTCCTGTGTGGAGTAGAGGGATCCTAGCTCTGCTAGGTTGACAAGAAATGCTTTTTCCCTCAAAACAGCTTCACATACTAATCATTAGCCTAATGTCTGTTTTCCACCCTTTGTGGAAAACTGGCAAAGCATAGTAACTTTGTCCTAGATTTCTGTTTTAATTGTACTTTTTATTTGTAATTGCTGTGTCCCTCAGTTTCCTACTCAGTTTTCCCTACACTCTTCAGAAGCATGATCACTTGGAACCCTTCAGTCCACACAGGATCCTCTCTTTCTCTGTGCTTCCAAGGGCAGCCCATCCACTGGACTAAATGAGCCCCCAGTCTGTACTGCCTTTGCTCCAGTTGGTGTTAGTTTGGTTTTTTAAAACACAAAATTAAAACTGGAAGAAGAGAGGAAGTTATGAACTGGTTCTTAATTCTGAGCTTTCAAGTGGGATTACAAAAATGGTAAAGCAATTAATTAAGGTTATCTTTTTTCAGCTTGGGCTGCCTCCACTACAGGAGAATATCATTGCATAAAGACCTGCAAACATACACAGGGACTCTGAAGTTTACTTCTCTCTTTTCTGAAATCCATCTCTTAGGGGTTTCCCACCCACCCCATTTCTACATGAATTTTCATAGAAACAGCTGGTTCCATATTTTCCATTTTGCTTTGGGGAAGGACCCTTATTTATTTCTAGACTAATAGACTACATATTTCATGGCATTTTTTCTTCTACAGTTAATAAGAAAACTTTATTTTTGGCAACATTTTGCAAAGCTGTTTCATCCGATTTGCAGCATATTACTGAATCTCAGCAATTTAGGGGGATAAAAAGTCTATTCAGTTTCTGCCACAATAAAAGCCAAAAAAACTGGCCTACCACAGGTAACACAAGTTTTCTTCTTTAAAGTGATCCATGTGGCTGTTTTGTTTCACATTTCTCTACACAAAGAGGCAACTTGCTTAAAAAATTTCATGTTCTCTAAAAAAATAGCACATGTACTGGCTTCTCATTTTGATGTGCTGAAAGGTGCTATTGCATAAGAGATTTGGGGCAGCAAGCAGCAGGCAAGAGGCACTGCATTTATATTTTAATTAGCTCATCCTAGCAGTTTTTTCAGAGGTTACTAAATTATTATTTGTCCACCTACATTATTAAAAATTTCAAGGACTCTTTGTACCTCCTGAAAACTGCATTTCTGCAATTGCACATAATTTTTAAATAATGTTCTTAAATAATCCCAAATGATAATTTTATAAATCTGTTGAGTGCCAATTTAATTATAGAACTTTAGGAATCAAACAAATTAAGATTCTGGAAAAGTACTATTTTAGTCACAAAAAAAGTTCTCTAGAACTTGTCTAATTTCAAAAATTTTCTTCATTTTTGGGCCTCTTAAATACATTTTCAGCAATTGTGTTCTTTCCTCAAAATAAATCCTTAAATTGTCATGTTCTGTGAAAAACCCCCCACTGTTTTATTAATACCCTATTTCACATCACACTGATTATGTTAATAAGAATAAATATTTTTACATAAATACATATCTCTGGGGGTTTTTCTGTTACAGTGAGAATACATTAGAATCTTGAGAAATTTCTTATTTCTGGATGAATTAATATACTTAAAGAATGTGAAATCTTTGAAGCAAGCTAATGGTATGGGTGGGTACTTCACTAACATATATGGATGTGTGCTGCACAGGCCCTTCCAATAACACAATGAACTTGAGAAACCTGGAAATGCAGTCATTTGGCAAATGGTTTCTAATGTTTTGGGTTTTTTCCTGGTATTGATTTATCCCCATCCATTTGCCAGAGCAGAGCTATAGCCACCATGAAACTCTTCAACATTTGATTGTTGGTTTGCTCCTGGAAGATTGGTGTAGCTGCCAGTGCCAGTTTAGATCCTGCTGGCAGCTCCAGGAGTAAAAGGACAGATTCTGGTAGAAATATATTTACTCTTCTGCAGCAAGACACTTATCAGGACTGACAGGCATGCAATGCTGAGGCTGCTCACGCTGCCCTCAACATGCAGCTTTCTGTGAAAAGAAGCTGGAGCATTAATGAGATATTAATGTTGTTAAGTGTGGCATGAGCCGCCACTGCTTTCACACTGGAGCAGCCCTCTCTCAGTCAGATTCACTGAGCCCACAGAGGTTGCTTCAGTCAGACTGAATGAAAATAAAACTTTCCCTTCACATTATTGTGTTCTTGCAGTCTGATGCACATGAGGGAAAAGAGTTTGCAAAATTTTACCCTGTTTTTATTGCCCAAGTGATCTCAGTGGGAAGTTTTTCCTGTTAGAGTTATTAAATGGTTGCAAAGCCTGAGAATATGTTTTCTTCTTACTTTTAAATTGGAAAGCATAGATTCATAGGGTCATTTAGGTCAGAAAAGCCCTCTAAGATCCAGCTTTAAACCCAGCATTGCCAAAGCCACCACTAAACCATGTCCCCAGTGTCCCACACATCTACACATCCCTTAAATCCCTTCAGAGATGGTGACAGCCACTTCTCTGGGGAACCTCTTCCAGGGCTTCACCCTCTTCTCTGTGAAGATATTTTTCTCAATATCCAACCTAAACCTCCCCTAGCACAACTTGAGGCTGTTCCTCCTGTTGCTTGTTGTCTGGGAGAAAAGACCAATCCCCACCTGGCTACAACCCCCCTCAGGGAGTTTTAGGGAGTGAGAAGGTGCCCCCTGAATCTCCTTTCTCAAGGCTCAGCCCCTCCATCTCCCTCAGGTGCTCCTCATCAAACTTCTGTTCCAGATCCAACCCCACCTCTGTTGCTCTTCTCTGGACCTGCCCTAGAACCTCCATGACTTTCTTGGAGTGAGGGGCTCAAAACTGATTCAAGGTGGCCTCACCAGTGCCTGGTGCAGGGGGATGATCTCCCTAGTCCTCTGCAGGATAGAGCTACAAATCCTGAAACAGATGCTTTAACACATGAATAATTTTCTAAATTAAAACAATGGATTCCTGGTGAGCATCCTGCTGCAGTGCACTCACAATGTAGACTTTATTACCCTAGAGTCTGATCATGGTTGTAGCTGCACAATAGCCATAAGTCAGAAAAAAGTCTTATGATGATGGCTGAGCCACTGAAAATGAGGGGTTCAGTGATGAATTTATATTAGAAAGGGAGAAAATGCTCTTTATGTCATGTAAATGACTTAGAGAAATACTGCAAATGGCATTGGACATTTACAAAGTCATTATGATAATGGAAATCTCAAATAACTTTAAGACTTCCACAAGCTCTACTCTTACATTTGGCATGATGATAAACTTCATAACAATTTATTGATTGTTTCTCTTTTCCTTTTTAATGAAATTCATCATGTATAGATGCAGCACCAAACCATTAAGATGCAATGCAGTTTAAATTATTTTACAGAGGACCAAAAATTCTTGATTTATACCTTTCATCATTGCGGCAGAACTAGATGTACTGGGTTCCTAAAACAGTCTCTAGAACTCTGCCTCTAAAATAGATTGCTCAATTAAAAGACTTACCTTTCTTACAAAAAATGAGTCTCCATTTTTTGAATAATCTAATTTTTATTCCTGCTGCAAACTAGAGATTCTAAGCAATCACAGTGTGCAACACAGAAACTTAAGCTTCTGCTGTAATACACAATGCTCAGTTCCAAGCATTTATTAACTGGAGAATGACAGTGATCTGAATCTAGGCATAGCTAACACATCTGGCAGTCTCTCTGCCAATCTTACTCCCCACCCCTCAAACAGCAACCCAAAATTTGATCAAACATGTAAATTACACAATAGGCTGAACACTCAGCCCAAGGAAAAAGGCACAGTGGTGAGTTACCTTAAATTCAGTTTCAATGTTGGCTAGCCTGGCCAATTCATTGCTAAGCTCTAGAGCAGTAAGGACAGGGTCTTCACTGGACAGAGACAAATAAGCAGCACTGGCTAATCCTTTGTAGGCATTCATTCTTGAGCGAGAATGACTAAAGGAGTCTTTCCTCTGCTTTTCCATACATTCATTGCACTTGCAAAAATAGTCATGTGGCCTTTCAATCCGTGCGCCTTTTAGAAGTAAGATATGAACGATTTCATACTCCTGGCAGTGGGCAGCAAGTATGATGGGGGTAATGTCATGGGAGAACCGAGTTCCATCTTCATCGTAAGCATAAAAATCATCATCCCTCAGTTCCTGCTCGAGAGGGCTGAGTGTGAGGCGCTGTCCTTGTGCGAAGGCTGGGTGGTTCAGTATTGCTTCTACAATGCGCACGTATCCTTTACTGATGGCCAACAAAAGCGCGTCCCCGACTCGAGCAAGATTCTCCTTCTTGAGGAGCAGCTCTGTCACTTCCAGGTGCTCATTCCCTACTGCCAACTGGAGGGCGTTTTGTCCCATGTAATCGACACAATTGAAGTTCAAGGTTTTGGATTCCTCCAGCATTTTTCGCACGACGGGAATGTTGCCATATTCTGCAGAGTCGAGGAAATGTTCCTCCTCTGCCGTGAGGCTGGTGCCTTTCTCGTTGAACATGTAGGCAGGGCCGCGGATGGCCTGGCGCCGGCCCTTCTCCCGAAGGGTCGCGTGCCTCCGATGCATGTCTTTAGAATTGCTGTGTCTCAGCCTGCAGGAAACCAGAAAGGAACCTTGGTTATATCCTAGCAGAGTCATCATTTTGCAGAACTTGAAATAAAGGTGGAAATATGTCATCATGACCAGATCTGGCTGGCTTTTTATGGCATGAGCCAGTTACTCTACATCATTAAGGACACACATGGAATAGAGATCGGCTTCTGAACAAAAGTTCTCCTGTGATTTGTCCACCCTTCCTGATTGCAACAAGGATGCTCAGCACATTCTTGATGAATAGAGAAAGAAATGCACATACACATAATTTTCCATTTGTACTGTTTAGAACATCATGACATCATATTTAGGATTAATATACACAGCACAAGAAAATATTTCTCTAAACTACTCTTCTTGAATTTTGTCCTTGAGGGCACAAGCCCTAAAGAAAGTTCACAGCACTCTCCCTCGTCACTAAACCTTGGATCAGGCCAATGAACTATGTTCCATAAAGTTAAAACCCATGTTTCTAATTTTAAATGCATGGTAACAAGGATAATTATATTGCATATTCTGCTCAGATTCAGCTGATACAAGCAAACCATCTATTCATTTCCTGCTTTTTTCTTCAAGGTACATAATACCATTCTTCTGTTTCCTGATCTAGAGCAGTATAATAATGAATTTCCTTATTTCTTGCTGAAATACAGCTGGCCACTACTCCAAATAAAAGTACCTAAATCCAGGGGAGATTCTAGAGAAACACAGGAATAACTCCTGATATAGTGTCACATCAGTCCCCAGTAAGCATCTAAGAGCTACTGCAGAAAGACAAGACACAGGTCTCTCACCACGAACAGAGGGCAGGAAAAAAAGGGTCATTCCCCACTGACTGTGTGGTTGAAATGCCCTTCACTTGGAGCTGGTGAGATGAAGACAAACTATTCTTATTCCACCTTCTCTGGAAGTCCCAAAGAAAGCTATGCTATGTGCACTTAGTCTCATGGGTGAGAAAATGCACTGTTGTATGAAATAAATGGAAATCCTAAATATATCTGTGCCTTTAAAACATTCATGTTTTGCATTCAGAGCTGTCTCAATGTTGCTCTTTTAAAAAAAATTTATTGCAGCAGCATTTCAACACATTCATAATGCCTTTTAGAGTCTAAGCATCTGGAGTAAATTGCCATCCAAAGCCCACAGAATGTGCAGCCTGAGTAAAAAGGTAAAAACAACACCTCTTTCACAGACTGCATTTGCACTCAGCCCAATAGCAAGTCCTAAATCTTTTGGGTAAAATCTTCAGGAGCCTCTGAGCTGCAGTGGACAGATATAACAAATAAGCAGGTGTTAATGCTCAGCAGGTGGCAAAGGTTCATTCCTCCACACTCCATCTGTTCTCCAAGTTGCTTATGACCTTCAGTCAATGAAAAGGTCATGTGATGCTCTGAAAAAATACTACGGAAGTTGGAAAGGGCTGCAGCGAATGACGAGAGGGAACCGTGCCAGGAGACAAAGAGGAGTAGGTACATTGCCTTCAAGAATTGGTAACAAAGGAGTAAAGGGGACAGCAAGAACCTGGTAAAACACAGGGTTATCAGAAACCCAAAATCCCTAAAGATCCAGGACACCAACATTCTCAAGGTAGCTGTTCTTAGGGAACTAACATATATGTATGTATCTATCATTTTAATTCATCCCTTTTGTGTTGATCTGGACTGAAGAGTTTCAAATTTTAAGCATTTTTTAAGAGTTACATTAAAATTTAAACTAATCCTAAGAAATTAATTTTGTGACCACACAAGGTTGAAAGAGAGGTTCATAATCAAGAACTTCCCCCCCTAAGCTTTGATGTATCACTGTAAGAACTTTATAAAAGCTAGTAGGAACTGAACATACCATCACAGGCTCCACTGAGAGATAAAGTGCTGTATGAGTCTTAAAACTATTTCCTTCCAGCATGGTTTGAAGTTGAAGAAGCACACAGAGATGAGGGATACAAGAATAATGAAGGAGATATGGTTAAGTGAATTAATTCCCTAGACTGCATGAAATTTACTATAAGAGGAAACAATAACAGCTAAATAAATAAAGTATGCAATTAACATATTTGACAGGGATATGCAGTTCTCTAAAGCCAAAAAACACCTGAGGTAAAATTGGGTGGCCTTTGAAGTCAACATCATGTTTCATTGATTTCAGTGGAGCCCAAATTTTGGAAACATATATGCATACACACTTATCTTTTCCTCAGCAATTGGCTTTCATCTCAGAAGCAGTTCCAGAGAGGCCAGAATGAGGACATGTGGTTAAAATGAAGTGTTTAACCATATGTACAAATGTTTTTCTAAACTGGAACTCCTGTCCTTAGCTATTCAGGACAGTGCTTATGTTTTAAATATGTAGTGAAACCTCGCTGAGTTCAAGCAAGGACTACACATGCAAATAAACACTTCTGAACTGTGATTTGGTTAAGTGGACAGTTATAGAACCAGAAAGCACTTAAAATTTTTAAGATTTGTGAGTTCCTGAGGGTTGTATTAAATCTCTTAAAATGTTAAGCAACTTTTAAAGGACGAGATGGTGATGACTTAAGCCATCATTGCTGGGATCAAGTGGAAACCAGTCCAGTTCACGTAGGTGCTCAGTAATCACCCATGAGTGCAGCAGGATTGCACATATTTTAAGAAGTTAATTTTATTAGCTGCTTCAAGCTGGAGGAATTCTACTGGGCTTTTTTGATATTCAAAACCCATGTATGGTAAGACATTTGGCAACCTTATATTTTTTGCTATATTTAAGTATCAGTACTGGAAACAACTCAGAAATATCTATAATTTCCAGCAGTGAGGAATATATTAGATATTTTTCCTGATGTAGAAGTACAGTTCTTGATACTTTACTTTTTTTCTCTTAGAAAAACTTTTCTCTTTGGGTATGTTATTACCTCTAAAGGACAACCCTGATAGTGGGACAGATAACCTAATAATCACACCCAAAGTAAACATAAACCCACGCAAAATATTACTGTTGGCCTAGTTAAGGTTTTTGCCTGAAAAAGAGGTTAGAGATTGGCCTAGAGCTAATTCACACCTGTTTGTTGTATATGTAATAACCTGCCAGAAAAAAAGGACCTTCATTTCACTTTCTTCAATTCAGAGAGAACACTGGTTTCACACACAGTTGCTAACAGCAGAAATTGCACTAGAAAAGGAGGAAACAGGAAAGAACACCTGCTCTTCAAAGAGATAATGACTATCCAATATTTATCTTAGCAATAAATGTTCTGCAGGGATGTCCCTACAGCACAGAGCTGATCTCCACTCCCTGCAGGTAAGGGCAAGAGCACCATCATTCAGAGGGCTTCACCTCAGATGAATTATTACCCCCACCTCTTGTGCATTGGAAGAGAAGACCAATATTTCACCTACCACACTTTATCATCTTTATAGAGAAGTAGAGATGAATAAAAAATTACACTTTTAACTTTAAATAATTTCATTAGACATGCTCAGCTGCCAGATCCCTTTCTGAAAATAAAAGGTATAATTACGCTTGACCTGAGCACTGAATCATGACAAGAGGAGCAGCAGTGCAAAGAGCAATGTGTGCAGTAGCTGAAGCTCTTGAAGCTGAACCCTACTGCAGTGTCACGACTGTACTTGACACCTTGTTCTATTCTGCTTTTCAGATATGTGCAGGCAGATTTAGAACTAATCATATTTACTGAGCGTGTGTAATCTGCTCGCTTAATAAAAGTAATTGTGACTTGATTGCATTTATCTTACCATTTTTCTTCAGAGGTGCTTTCGATTGAAATGACTCTGTATTTGCATACTTTACTGAGACAGCTAGCACCAAACTCATCAGGCATTGCAGTTAAATACTGTGTTTTTCTAGGAAAGGATGCCAATGCATGCAGTGCTTTTGGAAACAAAATGGTCCAGAAAAAGAAAATTAAAAATTTCAGGGCCTGAGTACTGCTTGCAGCAAAGCAAATCCAGCTTTTCATGGCTGAGGGAGCCACAAGATGTCTGGACTCCTGTGGGGAGTGGAGAAGAATAGCTCTTTCTGAAAGGTGATTTACCTCGTAACAAATCTTCCTCTGGGAGCATTTCAGTTTCTAATTAAAGTGACTAAGAGCAGCTCCTTGCAATTGGCTCTGTCGGTGCTGAGACAATCAATGTCTGAGCGGGGAACATGGCATAACATGAGATTTCTTCTTAATGTGGTGGCATTAGAAACACACTGAAGCTGAAA